CCCTCCCCAATGTCCATCACCCAGCCACCCCATCCCTCCCACGCCCCACCACTCCAGCAACCCTCAGTTTGTTTTCTGAGATTAAGAATTCCTCATATCAGTGAGAGCATATGATACATATCTTTCTCTGATTGACTTATTTCGCTCAGCATAATACCCTCCAGTTCCATCCATGTCGCTGCAAATGGACATCATTAGTTTTTGATGTAATGATCCATGATTCATTGTTTTCGTGTAACACCCAGTGCTCCATGCAGTATGTGCCCTCCTTAATACCCATCACTGGGCTAACCCATCCCCCCACCCTATTATTAATGTTTCTAAATCTTTATTTCAAAAACAATTTTTTACCCTACATTTTTGCTGTATTCTGTCATGCTATTAAAGCGAAGTATGATTTCTTAGTCATCTTTCATTTTGCTTTAATGATATTATTAAGTGCCAAATGACTAAATCAACATAAACTTTCAAAAGTATATTTTCAGGGTTAAATAGGGCTTTACATCTTTGGGAGAGTCATTCACTTCCTAACTATAATTCACTCGGGGCACTAACAGTCTTCTCACGTCATTTTTATTGTTTTAAATTCAATGACTATTTCATGCAAAATTTACTTTTGCAAAGGCAAAGATTTTGTGCAAATTCTCCAAGGCAAAAGGAAAAAGAAGGCCCAGACAACAGTTTATATTTGAAAAAACAAAGAAACCACCTTTTTCCAAAATATACATTTTCTTAATAAAAAGGTATCCAGTAATACATTATTTTAATGTAAAGTCACAGAGGTCAAACTATAAACTCGAGTATAGAGAATAGCTTTCCAGAAATTAACAAATTGTAGAATTAGGATTACTATTAGAGATTCTTCAATTGATGTTAAATATAGAACAAGTGGCACCTGTAAAGGTCTATAAATACTAGAGGAGATACCAAGTGCAGATACAACTTTGCCCTCTGTGGTTATCTTTAACACAATGATAAACTCCTCCAGAAGGATTTAAGGGTCTTTTATTCCAGAGGTAGCTTGGTGGGCTACACAAGCTGGTGAAACGTATTTTATTTCAAGATTATCCTCATGGTTTGCTATTTACTGCGTATCAGTGTTCCCTACTTTTTGATCCAATGAGAAGGAAAATACTTTGCCATAACATGACAGTTGGCTCTCTTTCAAAATATGTGAAATATAAATTCAAAGGTTTTTAAAATATAAAGATTATCAACTAATATGAATAGTTATTTCCAGATTTCCATTTTAATCTAAAATTAACTTTCTCTCAGTGAAAAGTAAGTTGCAATCAGTAGCTTTAAGACCCAACTGTCTATCTGCTCACAGGGTGAAATGTTAGAAATCTGTGTCTGCATGGCTACTTCACAAATATGGACAAAAATTTATATTTGTGTCAAAGATGAAGCGATAGTTTTCTCACTGATGTTATATTTAATAAAGTTGAGAACTTGAGCCATTAAAATATACTCTGTTCTCCCCATTGAACCCAGTAAATCTCTTTCAGTCAGAATGAAATTAAAATGTATGCATTTTTATTTTTTTCTGCTTTGGCCCTTATTTTATTTCATTCATCTCTCCCCAGTAAGCATTAGGAGAGTGAAACCATCCCTCAATACTCCTCACTTAAAGAATCTTGCTTAAAGGACTTAAGCTTGTATTTATTCGTAAATGGCCATAAATGCCAACAATAGATAGATTATTTGCATAAGTTTAAGAAAATAAGCATGGTATTTATTAATAAAATACACATATTCTCTCAAATGCCACATAATATGTCAAACTATCGCCATTTTTTAAGCAAATGATTATTTTATTACTATGTTAATAGTTTAAAGATTAGCTGAGCACTAAAAAATATTTTAGAAATGTAATGTAAATAATAGCATAGAGTAATGTAAAATAATAGCATAGAAAAAGACAGGTCAGTCCTTGATGTTGACAAGTCATGCCTTTATGGCTACTTTTTATGATTACTATCATTATTTTGAACCATCAAAGTTTTAAATCTATAGGAAATATACAGAGAATATTTGACTTGAGTGAATTGAGATAACTATCCCTAGTCATTCCACTGTTTTGGAAAGGGGATAGAGAGATGTAAACATCCTTAATTAACAGTGACATGGAATTGGTCATTGGACTCTATCAGGACAAAAATACAAAAAAACTAATCGTAGAGCAATAGGACTCAACTGGCTAACCATTCTACCTTATTAACGAAATGTGGTGGATTATACAAGGCTTGCCACACAGGGAAATAACTTCTATGGACTGTGACAACTCTATTACACCTAATGTAGTCTATGTGGAATGTGTCAACTCCATTGTATCTAAATGTAAGTAAGGTCATTAGTTTATAAAAGGCTCTAGCCTTTAAATCATCACAAGTAAATTTATCCAATGAGAAGGCCAAGTTTAGAACAAAGAAACCCTTTTAGAATTATCCAATGGGCCAATAAAAATCTCTCTGAGCTGTACATATTTTTTAATGTAGATTGGAAAAAAGATCCTTATTGATTAGTTATTGTTTCTTAATAAGAACTGCACATGGGAATCTATCTCTGTCTCTGACTATGCATAACTGTATGTACATAGCTATGCATGGAGAGAAAATGATTAAAACTTTCTAAGATTATTTGTGCATCATCGCTGCCTCTTGCTTTGCCATTTCGAAGGAAAGTGGTAAGTAGCCCGTGTCTGTGGTTCCAGTGCACACGCACCTTTGCTCCCAGCTCATTATAATGCAATTTCAAAGCCGTGACTCTTTCATCAAGCTCTTTAGGGTTTTCCGTCTGCTTCTTCTGTACAATCTGACGTCCAGTTTTTATTACCATTTCCACTTCAGACTTCACTTCACTCAGACTTTTATACAAGTTCTAAGTTCAAACATAAAACAAAACATAATAATAAGCAATAGTGTCTGAATTACACTATAACAGTGAATAAAAAGAAAGAGAAGTAGAGATCACCTTAATTGGCATTCCATGTTTACAGTTTTAATGAAGTAGGATTTTGCAGCTATGACCAATATCTAGCTTTTGCATTGTCTGTTGATTTAATGTTTCTATTTGCAATTATATACAGACATGCATAAATGAGTATATTTAGTTTTACAATCCAAGTTGGTAATGATTATTCCTAAAAGTTGTATGATTTCTATTTCAGATGTTATATAATGCTAGCTGTGAATTTGGAAAAATTCATTTACCCCTTCACCAGGTATTTATTGAGAGCCTAGTACAGCAGGTATTACTGGATTCCCTAGACAATCAGTGGTGGCTAAGACAGACACATTCATTGCTGTTCTCACATATGTTAGTGGGAATAAAACATCTAAATTTCCAGATCATAATTTCAACATAAATTAAGTCATATATAAGGAAGGAAGGTAATTTTAAATATGTTAATTACATTATACAAATGTATTTTCTTAATGGGGCTGATTAATTCAATATAGACAGACACAAAAATATTATTTAAAAACTTACATATATATATAACAACCCTAAGGAACACATGTATTACTTCACAAAAGTACACTGCAGTGTCATCACACAAAGTATTTTCCTGGAAAGATATGTGTATGTATGAATGCGTGCATGCAAACACATATGTATATGTATATATATGTAGACCGGCATATATAATACTTTACATTGTTGCTTTAATTTTTTCAGTGGTAATTGTGAACAACTACCCTTTTTATTGGTACTAAGAAATAAAGTTACTAGCAGGTAATTGCTGCTTCTTTGGAATTAGAACAAAACTTGGGTTTATTTTCTCTTCTCAGTTTAAAATCAATGCCTAAAAACACTTTTTTTGTAAAGGCTGAGCAAATATCTTACTCATTAAAGCTACGTACATAATCTATTTCCATCTTGATCCCTTCTTTGATGGTTGTTTTGTGTTAATATTCCTTTACTAATAATTTTGGGTTCTTGTCTGAGCTTTCCAGATGATTTTTTTTTTTTACTTCATTTTACTTTTATCTTAGAAATTACACATATATCTTGGTATGTAGAAACATTCAATCAGTAACTGTATGGAGGGAATCAACTGTGTGAATTTTGGAATCAGAGATATTTTCTAATGATTTATTCTTTAAACATTAAAAAAAAATCTCCATGATTTACCCTTATGTTGAACGTTCAAAGTACCATTAGTACCAAACTACCAAAGCCATTAACCCCATGTCATTCAGTATGCAGAGAAAGTATCACTGAGGGAGGGGAGTATCCTTCATATTTATTTGTGTTCCTGTTGGGAAGACTTTTTTTTTTTAAAGATTTTATTTATTTATTTGACAGAGAGAGAGAGACAGCGAGAGAGGGAACACAAGCAGGGGGAGTGGGAGAGGGAGAAGCAGGCTTCCTGCCAAGCAGGGAGCCTGATGCTGAGCTCAATGCGGGGCTCCATCCCAGGACCCTGGGATTATGACCTGAGCCAAAGGCAGATGCTTAACGACTGAGCCACCCAGGTGCCCCAAGACTTTTTTTAATTAAACAAAAATGTTGAAGGCAAAGGCAATGATTACAGTGCATGCAGCAGGGCATCTTAAGTAATTTAAAAATATATAAATGTTGTAAAGAAAAGATATCCTTCTGGAAGAACTACTTGAATTGCTCCTGACATTTAAACCAGAGCCCTGACCAAACTGAGCAAGAACTTGAAAATGTTTCCCTGTAAAGGGTCAGGGCACAGTCACAGCTGGTTGCAGGGAGGGTTGTTTTCACCTCATCTTTACTAGCAGACCAGTTTTCTGATGTACCGTAGAGACCTGGTCATAGAAGGGAACAGCTGTCCCTTTGGGAATATATTTAATCATGATGGTAGTATACTGGGCTCATTTTGATTTCGATTATTTTTGCATAATTTAAGAGGAGATAGCTTCCTACAAATCCCTAATGTTGTTCATCTAATACCAGCTAATAATTATACATTACGATGTTCAAATTTTCTTTTTCAGGGTGGGAATGTTTATAATAACAATGCCACTAAAATGCAGCCTGTGTTATGAAGGAATGTCACTGCATAAAAAAATTCCATAATTTCACAAAGGAATACACATATCTACAAAATTTGTGTTAAAAGATACTTTCCCACTCACAATAATATGACTGAAATGCATCTAAAGAGTTTCTTTTAAATTTATGTTATGGAGTAAAAGCAGAAACGATACGTAAAACACAAAGTACTAACTAGATAACCTTTTTTACCTTTAATGTTAATAATATTCAGGGCTTTTATTTTGTGTGACTTTCTACTCTTAGCCCATAGCAAACAAAGGGTTATAATAACAGTGGTATTACTCTAGTAGATAATTCAGCCTTATGTTGTCAGAGGTATCATCTGCCTTGGCGAATTTCCAATAATTGCAACAAAGGACACAGCTCAAGATCCCACAATCCTGTGAAGATTTATGCTGCAGGCTAATCATATGCCTTCCATGCCTTTTTATTCTGTCTTTGAGATCTGGTGGCATTTCAGTGCATGTCCAGCACTGATGTTGAATGGAAAGCTACCAGGGTTTGGAGGAAGAGCTCCATATTCAAAGTACTATAAGAATTAAACAGAGGGACTTCCTCTTATATTCTGCATCATCCTTCAACAATTACAGATTCAAAAAAGACACCTATAGAGGATGTATTCAAAGGCTACTATTTCAGTAAAAGTTCTTGTCTCTCAACACACTTGTGCGAACTTTTGTTCTTAATCTTAAAATTACATATTATTAATTATTATAGTTATCTGAAAACAATCTTCTATTATAAAGGAAGATCATCATCACATACCTCTTTTTTCTTTTCCCCCACAGACTGCTTAATAAGGCAAGGAGTAGCTGTGTATTTGTCCCCAGAAATACATACCACACAATGATTTAACTGTGACTGTACTACTTCCTGTTCCACACTCTTCATTTCCAACGCAGGCAAATGCATCTTCACTTCATCTAAAATCATCTTACTTTCCTGTAGACGCTGCTCAAAATTGGCTGGCTTCTGGAATAATCGAAACTTCATGGAAACATCTTGCAATTTTTTCTGTAAAGACAATGTAAGAAAGCACCTGTATAATTTCACATTCCAAACAACAAGCAGTCATATTTTTGTTAATAGATGTTTCTTTATTCCTGAAGATATACAAGATTTTAAAAAGTAAGGCATTTTTTTTTTCACTTGTCTAGCACAAAGAATGCATACATTTGGGAGAATTCAGTAGTTGTTCTGAATGTGATACTAAATAAAAGGTAATTTATTAACCTACTTTATCCTTAAGATGTACAACCCCCCCCAAGATCTATGTTATTTATATATCATATTGTAGTTTTCCAATAATGCCCTTAATCCCGATTTTTTCTAATGACCAAATTGCCTAACATAGACCACGTTTTAATATGCAACTAGAAGAAGTTCCTTAGTTTATGCAGGATATGTACCTGTGCCACATCAATTTGGGACAGTACCCTTTGGGCAGTCTCCTTTCCCTGGTTATGTTTCTTCATTTCTTCTAAACTGATCTCATGACTTGTCAAATCCGATTGGATTTTCTGTTGGGAGGACAGCATTATTAGTCAGCATGCTCTGCAGGTTATTGCAAAGAATAACTCACTTGCCAAGAAGATGAAATTCAGGAACTCTCTTAAAGCATTATTACAAGGTAGCCTCCTTTAAAGTGACAATAGTTTGTTTTTGTTTTTTTTTACTTACCAAAAGTTATCAAAAATGACATAGCTTATTTCTCTCCTATTTGGGTTATTACGAAAAAGAAATTATCCTTTCGAGTCAGTGATAATGCATAGCTATTTCAGATATTTTCAGAAGGAAATATCTGTTTATATCTAATATGAATGACTGATATTCTTTTATCTTTGAATTTACACTCAAATCTGACTAAAGACATATATATATCAAACCTAACTGTGATAGGATAAGATATAATGAGAAAGTTCCATGTAGACAATATTCATTGTGATATTTACTCATTCTGCACTATATTTCAGTTAAATTTCAGGAAAATTATGGATTTAGGAAAATGAAGTAAAATCCTTTAATTGGCTTTGCTTTTTGTCTGTTGGATACTTAAGAGTTTCTTCAAGAGACTGATTTTTGAACTTTAAATAACTATAAAAATTGCTGTATTTTCTATACTGAGTAGACATTTTTGATCGAGCTCTATTTAGAAGTATGTCTGTATTTGACTTGTACACTTCTGAGCCTGCTTCAGGAGTCAGCCAAATCATGGAGTGTGCAGAGACCAAAACAATAAATTCATTCATTTATTTCTGCCAGTTCCAGCAAAAATCAGCAAGTTGTCAAATTATTCTAATTTAAATATCAGTTGCTGTCAGATTATCACAAGTAAGTTAGAAAAGAAAAGAATTAACTTATACCACAGTGCCCATAAAATTTTCATGCAAAACAATTTGTATAATGCATATTAGTATAACCTAATTTATACCAACTGGAGTCAATTCCAGTACATATTACTAGAAAATAACATCACTTTGATTAGCAGCTCATTACCACAGAGAACTACAATCTTGCAATGAGTAGTGTGAATTATCCTAAAAAAATGGGTTGAGTAGTGAAGGAGTTACTTAGTATACAAGGAAATGTACACATATGCCTTAATATCATTCCCTAACATATTGATCCTAACAATTATAAAGACAAAGTAATGACGAATTACTTAAGTAATTACAATTTTGGCATAAAATAATTAAGAGCAAGGACTCATGCAAATACATACTATATATGTATATATATATTTTACTATATAGATAGATATAGATATAGATATAGATATAGATATATCTTCACTGGTTGAATTACTCCCTTGTATATAGATATATGCTATCCTCCAGAAACCATGGAGTTCGGGGGTTAGGGATCCATATAAGTGCACAATAAGATTATTCACAAAGTTATAAATGCTAAAGAATCTACGAAATTTAATGGGGGTATGTAGGACAGAGTAACACTTAACAAGGAAATGAATAGATGTCATAGGAGAGGTGATGTTAAATCAGAACTCTGAATAATTAGTAAGCATCACTGGCAGTAGCAGATGCTTTAGGGGGAGGGGTTACGATTATGATATTTTAAGTGGAAAATGCTCACCCCCTCAAAAAAGTAGGTCAATACTAACCATGTCTGTGCCACATAAACCTAGCCGCTCCCAAGTCATAGATGATTAAAACATGGACAATGCTTATGCCCCATTAGGTCCATCAGATTCTCTCTCAGAGCTGCAGGACAAAGTCTGGCCAAGCTCTGTGGGTGCTGAGAATCGTCACATATGCAAGGAGACTGTGCTTAAGAAGTCCGCAGTTTACAGTGTCAATTGGGGAATAGCAAAGGTCGATGACTAGAAAGAGAAGATAGAAGTAGATGCCAAAAAGAGAGGTATAAACAAAAATACTGATGGCTTTCAATCACAGGCTGAAGGAAATGGGACATTTTCCAAAGATGGCTGTAACAACAGTTCCCATACTATGTGCTCCTCTTACCACTCCCCCATTAAGAGGTGGAGTTTCTTTACCTCTTTAAACCTAGGTTGGCCCTTTGACTGCCTTGACCAACAGAAGAGGGCAAAAGTAGTATTTTGTCAGTTATGGGAAAAGCCCCTAAGAGGACGAGCAGCTTCAACTTCTACCTTTTTGGAACATTGACTCTTAAGATGTTCCCTCTTGGAACCCATCTGGCATGCTCTGAGAAGCCCAAGCCACATAAAGAAGCGGTGGGTAAGTGATTCAGTGAACGATCCCAAGTGAGCTTTCAGCTACAATGAGCATCATCCTTGGAAAAGCTAAGTCCAGTGCAGTTGAGCTTACATGCCATGGCAGAGCCAGCCAACAACTGCCTACAATCCCATGAGAGATCCCAAGAGATAATGATAAATAGCTGGTGCAAGTGACCAAAACACAGGCTCTAGTCCATTCCTGAGACAAATTTTATTCTTGCCCTTAGCTTCCATGAGACATCCCTATATACCAATGACAAACTTCTTCCCCTCATTTTTGTTTTTTAGTTAATTCAATTGTGCTACTTCTGCTTCATTGTTCTAAGTAGTATCTTTGATAAGCAAGGAGATAGAAGTTTTAAAAATAGAAGCATTCCTGATTGAGGGAAAACAAGGTACTCAGATGAGGTAATAAATGGCATGGGGAGTTTGGGAAAACTGAAATAATAGATAATGAACACACAATGGCAGAAATATAAATGGAAGAGGTATTTAATAACCTCATGTCCCAAATGAAAAAACTCTAATTTTTCAATATGAAGAGAAAGGTTAAAATTTTAAGTTCATCAGAATCACAGATAATAATAGTTTTACTGCTAATAGTTAATCTAATAATTAAGGAAACCTGCAATGAGAGAATGCGATTATAAATTCAGTAATACTTTGAAATGAATTTGAATTTTTCAAATCACTATATACACACATATATAGCTACATATGTGTATACTTTTTTTTTCAAAAAAGCAGTGTGCACCTGTACAATTAGTATTTATTTTAATGTACTCTCAAACATTAGAGGGCCCTAATGAGGGCCAGGAGAGAGCCATGGAAAACAAGAATTTAAGGGATATGGAGAAGAAAGAAAGCACCAAAGAAAGAAAAGGAAGAGTCCAAGAGAAGGAGAAACAGAACAGCCAGGAAAGATAAAGGGTGCCACTTCAATCAAGTGATGTAAGAATTTTAAAAATGAGGGAGAAGTCAACAATGTCAATTTTGAGACATGTCAAATGAGGCAAGTTCTAACAAGTGTACATTAGCTGGTCAATGAGCACTGTAGCTAGAAGAGAGTCACTCGTAAGTGCAGAACTTAGCTTTTCCGAGGATGAAGCTTAAAGACTAGGAAACCCTCATCTAAAAATAGTTCAAATTATTTTTGAAGAATTTTGTCTCACCACATAATGTATTGTGGTCAACAAGGAACACGTATTAAGGCTATGTAAAAGGAGCCAAGGGATGAGAGAGATTTAAAAAAAAAAAAAGAAGATAATTGATTAGAAAAACCCAGTGGGAAGCAAGAAGGAATGAAGAGCAAAGACCAATAATCAACAAAAAGTACTGACAGAAAGACAGGTGCTACTTTTTCAGAAGCCCAAGGTAAGACATAAAGATCATTTTTGATATAGAAAGGCAGAAAGGGCTTCTTACTTGATGCTCTGTGTGAATCAGAACAGAAGACTGTTAAGAGAAATCTGAACTTATATTTCAGGGCTCTGGGGGCACCTGGATGACTCAATTGGTTAAACATTCGACTCTTGATTTTGGCTCAGGACATGGTCTCAGGGTTGTGAGATCAAGCCCCGCTGAGCCCAGCCTCAGGCTCCTTGCTCAGCGGGGAGTCTGCTTGAGATTCTTTCCCTCTTTCTCTCTCCCTCTGACCCTCCCCCGGCTCGTGTGTGTACACACACGTGCACACGTGTGCACACTTTCTTCTCTCTAAAATAAATAAATAAATCTTCAAATTTCAGGGCTCTGACTTATCCCTTGAGCACCAAACCTTTCTGAAGCTCAATTTTCTCATCTCTAAACTGAGGATGTTGATGACAAGCCAGTAATGAAGCATTATCAGTAGTCCTGGGAAAATTCTCATGTTTGCAGTAGACAACTACACTGGTTTTGGTAAAAAGATCAGATGTTATAGTGTATGTAAAAATACCTGTTCAAGTTTGCACAAATATTTACTTCCAAATTGTGTCATTATGAATTATTGATTTATAAGGAAGAGATTCTTTTGGTATCCAGTGAGGAGGAGAGAGAAGAGGGTTGAGGAGGAGTCTAAAGGAAAATGATGGAAGTCGCATAGTCATTGTGGAAACTGGGGATGGAAATTGATGAGAAAAAAAAAATAAAAGATACTCAGAGGAGAGTGCCCAAATTATGCATCTGCAACCATATATATCTACATGTTTTTGAAGCCCTTCATTTGTCTAGTACTCAAGCTAAAGGAAAAAAAATAATAGAGGAAAAAATGAATTATACACGTATTTCTTTAGCCTTTTATACTAGAAGGGTAAGAGAAGAACACTGAAGGAAATCATCCTCATCATCATCACCACCAGAGCAGACATCTGTGTCAGCTTTTATATGACGATTCACACACATACATTTATTTAATCACCTAATCAAACTAAGATACAAGTTTATCATCCTCATTCACAAATGAGGGTAGAAATGTTGACTTGTCCAAGGTAACATACCCAGGAAGTAGCAAACTCAATGTCCTCTGAACAACTATACTTCCTCTTAAATTATGATTCCAAAATAAATGTGTCCTCCATATGGACATTGGTCAGACAAGACAGAGAGTGCATCTCACAAATGCAATTTGTGCATTAATAGTATTTAGTTTATGAATTCAATTCAATAAACAAGTTGGGCATCTACTAGTCAATTCCATATAGTGAGAACAAAACTATTGCCCCTATTCTTAAGGATCTTTTATTCTAGGAAGATAGAACATAGAGATATAAATTAAACTAAAATTAGAAAGCAGAAATACATGTAATATAATTTAAAAAACCATGCTAT